TCTGCAAAACTGCAAGTATATTTGTTTTGTCCGAATGTATAAAAATGAAATTACTAAAGTTAGTAGGCTATTTTCTCTACAGGTTGAACATTATTCATTCATAAAGAATAGAGTCAATCAGGAAAATACTGTATTATGGTCACTAGATGGCACTGCAGATCATAGGAAACAAATAGATCTTCAGCTCCATCTAGTGGCCATAATGCAGGTTTTCCTGATTCATGCTATTCTGTATGAAAGAATAATGTTCAACCTGGAGAGAAAAAAAACAAAATAAAATTAAATGTTGCCTCATTTGAACAGAACGAATGTGCATGCAGTTTCGTAGCACGAATAGCTCTGCAAAGTTTTAAAAATATACTCTTATGATTCAGCTATTACAATGCATTCCATGTGTAGCTGACATCTCAGCAGTTGTTGGGAGAAAGACAGAGTAATTGTATTAACCCCTTCCTGACCGATACAGGGATTATACCGTCATGATCATTGAGTTAATTAACGACCGGTGACGGGATAATCCCATCATGCAGTACAATGAGCGCTGGCTATTGGAGGGACCAGTGCTCATTGAGTTTCTGGATGCCTCGGGGTCCATCGCAGACCACAAACAGCAGATTAGGTGGTCACAGCACTATGATCACAGCTATAAGTAGTTGCTGCGATCAAAGAGCCGTGACAGCCAGAGAGCCGGCAGCAGCTCAATGTATTGTGCAACTGCAAGCCCGGCTGGGTCTTACAAACTGATACAAAGTATCTCTGAAGAGAATACCGTATTCTCCTCAGGGATACTAAGTATCAAAGCCCCTGTAAATAAAAAATAACCGCTTAGTGTCCCTAGTTTAAAAAAGAAAAAAAAAGTTTTTTTTTAAATGTCTAAAATTAGAGGGGAAAAAAGAATATAATTAATTATCAAAATTATAAGAAAATATAGTGCTGAGGAGGCTATTAAAGATGGAAGACAAACATACCACATTCTAAAATAGTTCCAAACTAAAATTAGAAAGTTGGAAAAAGAAGACTGATTGCATCGCACAATTTGCAATTTTTCATTCCTCCATGCCGTTCTGGACGCACCACCCCAAAAACACCCTTCTCGTAGGATCCACCTCTGACCAACCACCTGTCACTCCAACCAGACCTTACGACATCACCAGGAGGTAATCACCTGTGTGCCCATCCATCCCATCACATGTGACTGCCCATTTCTCATTTCCACCCACTTTCACCTGATTCACAGTTTTGTTCCCTGGTCGATCCACCTCCACAAAGTCTGCGCCAGTCAGTTGCCCTCCTTCCCTCCCCTTCTTTCCAAACTAAAATTGTATTTCACTCCTTGTATTTTGTGACCTCTAACTCCCAAAATAAACTAAAATCCCAGACATATGATATACCTTATAAAATCAGGACAAATAAAATAATGTATTATAAATTACTTTCTGTTAGTTACACTAATTAAGCAGACAAAACTGTGAAAATGTGGGGGGGGTTTTTTGCATTTGTTATAAGCAAATAAGAATGTATATATCAAATGAAAGCCCATTTTGTCCTTTAAAAAGCGGTATATAATATGTGTACTGTAGGTGCAGTGAATGAGGAAGATGGAAATTAAGGTTAAACAAACACATAGCAAAAATTGTAGAATTGCTCCACTTCCCAGGAACAAAAACATTTTCTGAAGCTGTGTCACTAAGGGGTTAAGCAAGTGAGATTTCCCTCCAGTGTCTAAGCTAAAAAAAACTAATTAATACAATAACAAAAAATATGGAAGCATTTAAAATAAAAAAATGCTATAAAGAAGAACTTAGGGCAGAAATGTTATCAATGTGCTACCCTGCAATGCAAGGCGTAACAGCTCGCGTTTGCTAAGTATAAAAAAAGTTATACTCACCTAATTCTCAGAGCCGACAGCCATCCAGCCTGTCTCCTCCCTTGCTGTCCCTCGGCATCCTCAAGTCCTATACTGTATTGGACGTGATGACTTGAGGATTCCTAGACCACTGCAGCGGAGGGGGAGAGACGTTCCAGGGACCATTCTAAGAGCTGGCCAGCTCCTAGGATCATGGGAGTATAACTTTTCGTTTTTTACCCTAGGCAAAAACAAACAGTTACGCTTGCAGTGCAGGGGCAGCCCCACTGCAAAGGTTAATAACATTTCTGCCTAGAGTTCTTCTTTAAGGTAAACACTGCAATAACAACTCAAATCTGTAAAAATACACTATACTTTCCCCTTTAAAGCTGAACCGCAGATACAATACAATAAATAGTTCAGTAATAGTAAATCTAAAAAAGTCAAGTCTATCAAGAGTTGTCCCACACAGTAAATCCTTTTCACTACTAGATGTCCTCAGTTTTTGTGATTCCCTGAGCCCAGGCTGCCATGAACCTGTCACCTAAGCAAGTATCCTCATGCAGCCCATCATTATGCTGGGTTCACAGTTTTAACCTATTGAATATAGCTCACAGGTTAATATGTAAGTGGCAGTAAGGACCAACCATTACTGCTGCCGGAAAAAAATTTAAATGTATGTATGTATATAGATATAGATCTGTAGATCTATATCTATAGATCTATATTAAAGGATGCAGAGGGAACACATGGAGAAGGGGGAGGGTCTTTTTTAAACAGCATACAAGTCTAAAAAGGGCGGACAGAATGGAAATATGGATGGAATTTCATACATAGAAGATACAAATGTATACTGACCAAGGTGACAGTGACTAGAGAATCAAGCTTCGTTGAAGAGGTCTGTTTTCAGGGTGCACTTGATATTAGAAGACAATGTTATAAAGCGAGATTGAGTATCCCAGAGCTGTGCAGCACAGAAGTCTTGGTTGTGAGAGTGAGTGGTTAAAACAACAAAGGGTGACAACCTCAACCATCTCATTCTGACACCCTTAAGGCGTGGAAAATGTATTATAGAATTCAGGAGCCAGTCTGTCCAATCCAGGAGCCAGCAGGATTTGTATAAGGAGCCACCTCCATTGACAACCAGAGAAAACCGAAAAGATTAGACACCAGCTGTAATTTTTAGGGTGCATAGGCTACCTGGCTCCTGGGATTTGTCCAGCCCTGCTGAGACTATTTGTAGAGCTGAACCTCTAAGATCCTTTGTAGACCTGATGGCACACTTTGTAGTATACACAAGATGAAAGGAAGACTCATAGAAAGAGGAACCATTACCGAGACCTTGTAAGTGAAGGCCGCCAGTTAGAACGTAATCTCTCAAGCATTAGGAACGCTTACGAAGACTTACCGAAGGTAAAAAGTTTTAAGAAAAGTGATTGGCAAGAAAGTTAAGTATGGACTCATGTGTTGCTGACTTGGTAGGTTGTAAGCGTTCTCACAAACTTGCAGTAGTCCAGATGACAGATGATGTGTTAATGCATACATACACAAGGGTGTGGAATTCCTATTGCCCGACGCCCGGGACATGCAGTTTTAAGAACCTGGCGAGTAGTTTTTTTGTACATTTGGCCCTGCTTCGGACAAGCAGAGCTAAATCTACAGTGGGGAGCTGCCGCTCGTTTTTATACAAGTGATCTGATCAGATCACTTGTATGAAACAAGCAGCGGCAATCTTGTTTGCCCCCGCCACCTGCCGTGGTTTTCGGGGTCCCCCGTTCTTCTGGGGGACCCGAGACCATGACACAACAGCTCAGCCATAGAGAGCGTAGAGCAGACGAAGAACGTCCGCGCTTCGTCTGCTCTGTGTGATCAGTGAGATTGTGGCGCTGTAATCATAGCGCCATCTGTCTCAGTTGTCAGGGACTGCACAGAACCTCTGTTCTGTGTTGGAGGGCAGGTTCCATAAAGAGAACCTGTCACCTCTAAATTATCACATAGGGGCTTGTAATCCCCTATGTGACAGGAATAAAATTAAGTGAAGAAAAAAAAAAGTAAAAAAATAAATTAAATAAAAAAAGTAAAAAATAATAAAATACATAAAAATTAAAAAAATTAAAGTGATACAAGTAAAAAAAAAAAAACAAAACAAATTAAAACCAACCCCACTGCCCCCGCCATCTTCGTGCAAACAAACACATGCGTATGACATTGTGTGTGTGCGTTGAGTGCTGCCGCCATTCCATTGTGTGCCATATTGTGGTAGCCGGGCAGCAGAACTCTCTTACACACACACAATGTACATTAAAGGGCAAGTTCACTTCACCAGGTAATATGGTAAAAAGGAATTACCCGATAAAATCTGGCCCCGTCTCTCTCAACCCCCTGGCAATCAGAAAGCTGGGCGGAGAGTTCTCCTTCGTTTATTACAAAATGGGAACAGGAACTAGGTCATCCTTTTTCCAGAGAGCAAATAAATAGGATCCTGCACTTGGCACATAAGGCTTCTATTTCAAACAAAATACAAGAAGCAGGGTATACGTTTTGTGCGAGATGGTATATGACACCAGTTCGTCTCCAGTTTATGTTGCCAGGTACTTCCTCTAAGTGTTGGAGATGCAAACAGCAAGAAGGAATGTTACTTCATATTTTTTGGGAATGTTCACTGATACGCACTTTTTGGGATGTAGTTAAAATAATTTGTTATAAGTTGACAGAGATTGATCTAGGAGATGGACCAGAGTCATTCCTCTTTCATTTAAATACCTTGTCATTAAAGAAATATAAAGGTTCCTTGCTGATGCATCTTATTAATGCTGCAAGAGCGTGTATACCAGCCTTATGGAAAAGGAGTGACTCTCCCTCAATGGCTCAGTGGTTCTCAAGGATAAATTATATCAAATTAATGGAATTAATGGTAGAGAGGAGGCTTTCCGTCAGATATGGGCACAGTGTATAGTGTTTCAATCTTCCACAGAATATATAAGAATATATATACCAATAAGAATTAATAAGAGTAGGAGGAGTGGAGTGGGGAGAGGGGAGGGGATGGAGCGGAGGAAGGAATGGGATGTGGATGTTGTTGGTTTTTTTTTTTTTTTTGCTTAGTGAATGAGGGGAAGGGTATCAATAATTTAAGATAGTTATTGTATATGGATAACTATGTGTTGATATTATTAGGATGTAAATGTGATGTATGGAAATATTGTGAAATTGGCTTGTGAAAAATTAAATTAGGGCTGGTAATGATTAACATTTTTATGTTCGATTAATTGAAATCTTTTTAAAAGCGATGAATCGATTAATTTCGATTAATTATAAACACACATACAGATCCAACTACATTGGCCTATACACATACAGCACAGCAATGAAGTAAAAAAATGAACTAGGATCACACTAATCCAGCACGTTATTAATCTCACGTGCCCCACTCAATATGGCCGCCGCTTGAGTGGGGCAACTCAGAATAATAACGTGCTGGATTAGTGTGATCCTAGTTCATTTTATTACTTCATTGCTGTGCTGTATGTGTATAGGCCAATGCCCTGGCTGGCGCTCGTGCAGAAAGTTTCTTGGGCAAACTCACCGGGCCAAATGGCTCCGTCGGTCATGGACATCGATGTCACCGGACTCCTCCCCCCTTCACTTCATTAGCCGTCACAGACATCGACGTCCCCGGACTCCTCCCCCCTTCCCTTCGTTAGCCGACGGAGCCACTTGGGGAAGGGGGGAGGAGTCCGGTGTCGTCGATGTCCGTGACGTCACCGGATCACCGGCGGAGAGGTGAGTGTTTTCATTAGCGATCAAAATAATTTTAATCGATCAAAAAGTTTAACGATTAAATCGAGAAATTAATCTTTAATTTCCGCAGGCCTAAATTAAATAAAGAGTTAAAAAGAAAAAAAGCTGGGTGGCATTTCATTACCCGCTGCCCGGCTTCCTGATTACCCGGGAAGCCGTCTCCATGCCAGCAGAAGCACCGGTATTGTCGAGTACCGAAAACAAAATATCTGTGCATCCTTAGTTTTGATTAAAATAATTTTTTTGTATTGGGACAAGTAGATTGGGCCCCCGCTTTAGCCCTTGGACAAGTAGTTTTTTTAAGAATTTGCACCATTAGGGTGAGACGCAAGAGATGAATATGAATATCTAGGCAGATCTTACCAATAACTGCACTCCAAAAAGAATTTCTTGTGATTTTTTGTGATTGACGGATCCTTTGTAACGCAAAACACCCCTCTCTTTGCGTCCACTGGATGAGATAACCTGTACGCGCACAAAGTCTCCCGTGTTCAGATTTAGAACTTCCTTCAACCTTTTGCGGTCCTGATAAAATAGAAGACGTTCTTCTGTATCAGTAACTGCCAGTAACATGCTCCAGATCAACTGTTCAACTTCATGTACTGACTCAGAGTTTACATCAACCACCTTTTGGGTTTCATGAACCCTAAGCCAAAGCGTGGCTGAATGATGAAGTGCACTGTCCTTTCGGGTGAGACCGGCAGGTAGATTTGTAGCTAAGGTCAGCAGGCTCCCTCTCTCCACCCTCTCAAAAGTGCCATCAGAAGACTGAAGTGATAAAAAGTCCCGGACGGCGATAAAGTAACTTGGAGATGACATTCTTCTTTTGATTACTGATTACGTTCGATGCGAATCTTCACTAAATACATGGGATAGAAAGAGGGAAAAAGAAATTAGTAAATATCTACTGCATTACAAGCACAAGCTCTGGTTGTTATGTTGACGTTAAAGCTTCATTGCTTTCTGTATTACTGACCCGGAACACATATCTGATCAGGAGCTCTAGCTTTATCCCTAGGCTCTAAATCAGAATTTAAAGGAGAATTATGAGGCGAGTGATTTTCACTCACCTCATAGTTCTAGCCGATCTGTGACAATGAGACTGTCACAGGTCGGCTCAGTAGATCGGGGAGTGAGTGAACACATACCGGCGTTCGCTCACTTTTTGATCTATCCCTGCAGAGAGCCGTGACTGTCACTCACGAGAGCTACAGCTTGCTATATACTGAGACCGGCACAGCCAGGAAGGATCCCGACAATGCTGTCTGGATCCACCCAGCTGCGTGAGTGACAGCTGGCTCTGCCAGCTGTCTAGAGGCAGAGCCAGCTGTACCCGCCCCCTCCCCCGTCCGTTCCGCCAGTCAGCGCTGGAGGATCAGAGAGGGGAGGGGGGGGGGAATCCCTGCAGGGAGACAGTCACCACTCTCTGCAGGGATAGATCGAAAAGTTAGCGAACGCCGGTATGTGTTCACTCACTTCCCGATCTACTGAGCCGACCTGTGACAGTCTCATTGTCACAGGTCAGCTATGAGGATGAGTGGAAATCACTCACCTCATAGTTCTCCTTTAAATTGAACTGATATTTTGAGTTTTATAAAAGAGAACTAAATCTGCTTGTCACATCAGTTCATACTGTGCAGCCTCCCATCCATGCTCATTGATGGTGGAATGTATAATCAGATTGCAACATGTGTGGTCAGGTTTTGAGCCCTGAACGATTTCCTCCTGGCTGGTTTTTATTTTTAAAACTCATTCATTTTAAAGTGATATTAAAGTCAAAAGGGTTTTAATGCTGATCAAATCACTTACAATGGATGCTGCTTCTTCATGTTTAACGGTTTCAGTTTAATGCAGAATCAGCTGGTCCCTGGAGCACTGGCCCTGTTTTAGGGTGTCTCCTTAACCTTGCAGGGTCCTGTGGAGCCACCCTTGTGTGTGCTAGCAAGCTGTGTCTGTCTACACGAGCACACAAAAGGCAAGACACTTCCCTCCTCCCTACTCCTACTTCCTGTCTTATACAAGCTGGTAGATGGACAGCTGTTGGAGACTGTACTGTCCCTTGTGATCTCGTACAGGACAGGAAGTTCAGGGCTAGAGCAGACTTGTGCAATCCCGGGATTCGCATCCCAAGACAGCGCGATTATGTTCAGTTGCACACACAAGTTGCCGCTGAGCCCCATTCATTTCAATAGGATTACATCCGTGCAGCAATCTCTGAAAAAAAAGGTACATGTACCTTTTCTTGCAACACGCACCGCGCGTTTTTTTCATTGTGATCGTGCGCGATTGCACGGGTGGAAACCGCGCGATCTGCCTGGTGTGGCATTAGAAAATAATGGCACCGCCAGAGCGATCAGCGGTGGTGGGCGATTCCATGACCGAGTGGTATCGTGTTTGATTGCCGCGCGGTCATGGATCGCCCAGGTGTGAACGTGGCCTACAAAACATTAAAGGCAACCTGCGCTTTGAATTTTCTCCAGGAATTTTGAAGTCTAAATACACTTTAGGAAAAGTTATTTTACTGAATGAAAATTGTGCAAATGTGGCCAATGGAGAAGCAATGCTTCTCTGTACATTCCAGCTGCCTCCTGCCTCTCCAACCCGCATTTCAGTACTGCTGATCTCTTTCTGTCTCTTTCTGTCACTTCCTGTCTACATGCACTCGCAAGAAGCGGTGGCTGCACGGCATTGCTTGGGACCAGTGATGGGCTCGGGCGTGTTCGCAAGCGTCTCGTGCCGAGCCCGCCAGGATGCCGTCAGCACACTGGGCCAATCACAGGCACTGAGACATGTTCCCGGTCCGCAGCTGCAGAGATCGGGAAATGTCTCAGTGCCTGTGATTGGCCCTTCGCGCTGACAGCTTCCCGGCGGGCTCAGCACGAGGCACTTGCGAACACGCCCGAGCCCATCACTACTTGGGAACAGCTTCCATGCCTGCATGGTTAGAGTGTTCATCACAAACCCATGTGGCATGGTGACCACCCAAGGGTACAATTGGGAGGCAGGCACAGAACGTTGTCACCCTATAAAAGGAGGACCTTCCCATTCTGCAGTCTAGATAATGGAAGAGTAGGGATCTGGCGAGTCACATGGCCACAGATTTAAGGGGCATTAAATGTTCATTTTAATCATTGCAGCAGTGATTAGATTGGGGGATTCCCTGATAAGAGTGAAGCTTAAACCTCTTAAAAGGAGAACTATGGGGTTAAGGCTTTTCCCCATAGTTCTCTTTAGGGTAACGGGAGGACAAAAACTAGCGTCCTCCCGTCACTCTAAGATCAGTATACCGCGAGCTACAGTTCACGGTATACTGAGACGCCACAGTATACCGCGAGCGGTATACTGAGACGCCACAGTATACCTCGAGCGGTATACTGAGACGCCGCAGCTGAAGCGGATCCCGACAATTATGTCTGGATCCGTCCAGCTGCGTGAGTGACAGCTGGCTCTGCCTATCTAGAGGCAGAGCCAGCTGTACCCCCCCTCCCCCGTCCGATCCGCCAGTCAGCACTGGGGGGGAAATCCAGCCTCTCCCCCTGTCACGGCAGAGGGCTGTGACAGGATCGAGAGGTGAGCGAACGCCGGTATGTGTTCGCTCACCTCCCGATCTACTGAGCTGACCTTTGACAGTCTCATAGTTCTCCTTTAAAGTGTAACTGGATAGAGTGGAGTTGCTGTCTGTGTCCCCATTACAGAGATTCACCCTCCCTGTTTGTCACGATATCACTGAAAGTAAAAGAAAGTTCCAAATTTAAGGTTGTTACCAGATCAGGAATGGATGGGAAATCTTCACATGGGGACACTAGTTCTGGTGATCCCGCTTACCACTAGGGATTTCCTCTCACTTCCTGTTGTGGCTATCAAACAGGAAGTGAAGGAAAAACTCCCCAATGGGATACAGAGGGTAAAAAAAAAAAGCTGACAGGATGTATAATTCTCCCTTACTCTATCCAAAACTAAAAATATATATATAGTTGTATTACTAGGGACAAATGACTTGATGTCACATAAGACTAGGCACTGTCCCTGGAAATGTGAAGCGTTCTTGCGACTTCATTAAAGTCACATACAATGAATTATTTTTTTGGTGCTGAGATTGAAGTCCCCCCAGGTATCCCCATTGTTAAAAGTACTCACGTGTGTCTGCTCGCTGCTCCCTCTGCTCCTGCCGACTCCAGCAGCACATCTGCTGTCACAGGTAGGAGCGCTATGCTCTTAGTAAGGTACGATGGCACTTCTCTCTGGACTTTCCGCATTGCTGTGGGAATTTCTAAAGTGACATGTCTCCATTACTGCCATCAAAGCACTTCTATCACTTGACTGAACTTAGGGAATTTACAACAAGGAAGTGTACATCGATAAGAGTAAGATGCCATTTCAGCCAATCCGCGGTAAGAAAGAGCTGTGGGAGCCAATAGAATGCCAGAGAGCGCAGCAGTGGGCGGGGGGCGGAAAGTCCCATTCACCGAGCGGACGTTGGCTGTGGAAGGCGGAGCTATGCAGAGTACTTGAGGGGACGACGCTGTGCTCTGAGTGTCTGTGCCTCAGACAGGAGCTGGCTTCCTCGTAGAGTCAAATTTGTCACAATATCTGAATGTGGCACCTGTTTAAATTCATGGACGCCTGTGCTCTGAACTAGATGCACTGTGAGCTGTATTTTGTGTACAGGATTTATATAGTGCAGGCAGTTTGTACAGCACTAAGCACGATAAAGGAGACCATACAATTAGAAAGCTACAGCACCCCTGATTGCCCTGATCACTAACTTTGGATTGTTGTACATAAAAAAAAAATAAGACCTACCCCAAAAATAAGACCTAATGTGTTTTTTTGAGCCAAAAAAATATAAGACAGTGTCTTATTTTTGGGGAAACACGGTATATATCTCTAATGGTTTCCATTTAGATGCTTTTATCTGCACTCCCGTTTAGGAGCATTTAGGGAATATAGAAGTCATAAGCGTCCGGGAATCGGTTTTAATGTCTAAACACACCAAAAAGGCATGTAGACACATGTCAGCATGTAAATGTAAGCCCCTCCCCAATTCCAAGTCAGCTCCTTATTATTATTATTTGTCTCCCTCAATGTTCTATGGGCAGCTGCAACTCCTCTCCCACTCCACACCCAATGCCAAGATCAACTTCTACTTTGCCTTCTTTCTGTCCACTGGTCCACAACCAGTTACCATATAGCCCCCTTAAACACCCCTCCCTGTCCACGTTCAATCGCTCTTCTGCCTCTTTCTTTCCTCGCGGCCCATTATCAGCTCCCTCTGTATATCCTATATGCCCTTTTACACCACAATCAGTTTCCACGTTGTCTACCACATGATTAAATCTAGTGGGATGGCACACTTGAGCTATTAATGTGTGTCCTGCTAAAATATTGCTTTTGGGCAGTAATCTATACCATTGTGCTTTGGATCACTCTGAGCCCAAAACCAACTACGCTGACCTATCATGAATGTGATTTAAAAACTGCTGCTTTATTTTTCTCTCTGCTGGAGAGGAAGAGGTGACAAATGGAGCTGGCATACTGAACTGCAACCAGTGTCACCTGCCAGAATATGCAGTGCAAAATATGTGTTAAGCACAAGAAGGGCTGGACGAAATGACAAATCCCTTGGCACGTAAAGCAATAAATATATATTTAAACTGTCCATTGAGCTGTTTGCTTGGCGTTCCACTACAAACTTGTTTCCTGCAGCTTATGTACACGTTTATGTGGTGTGCCCAAGCCTTTTGTCACAACTATATGCAGAGCTTTGCTACACAGTAGTACCGTTAAGAAGAGCGACATAGCAGAACAAAGCTCTTATGTGC